TGGTTGCCTTATTTTCTAAAATAATTTTAAGGTGAAATTAATGTAATAATATGTCCAGTCGAGTTTTTAAAATATGTAATAAATTATTAATGAGATTTTACTTTTTGTTTGTTTTTAGTAAATCCAAATTTGCATTTTATACTTAGAGCATGTCTCAGTTTGATTAGTCACACTTCACTTAGCCCTGTTTGACTAGGGCTACCACGTTGAACATTGTGATCCTGGGTCTTTGTCAGGACTCTTTAGTACATTTAATCCACTCTTTACCTTCAGTGAGAATGAGGTCTTTCTGTCTAAGTTGCATTTGTTATTTTAGTATTTTAATTGCTTTTTCCGACAGAGGATGAGATGGCTGGATGGCATCACCGACTCAGTGGACATGAGTTTGAGTGAACTCCGGGAGTTGGTGATGGACAGGGAGGCCTGGCATGCTGCGACTCATGGGGTCGCGAAGAGTCGGACACGACTGAGTGACTGAACTGAACTGAATTGAAAGTCTCCCCAAACCCATGATATCAACTAATGTTATGACTAGTATTGAAGTGAAGTTGCTCAGTCGTGTCTGACTCTTTGTGACCCCATGGACTTTAACCTACCAGGCTCCTCTATCCATGAGATTCTCGAGGCACGAATACTGGAGTGGGTTGCTGTTTCCTTCTCCAGGGGATCTTCCCAACCCAGGGCTCGAACCCTGGTCACCGCATTGCAGGCAGATGCTTTACCGTCTGAGCCACGAGGGAAGCCCATGACTAGCATGGCTAGTGCTGTTTATTGAGTAATTAGGACATTAGACCACCAAGCTTGTTAGAAATTCATATATGCTGTAAACGAGTGTGTGGTTCTGAATGTCTTACTGTGAGTAGCACAAGTCTTCGCAATGTGCCCACAAATCATCTTTGTTCTTTGATAGTTTTAAAGTTAATGGATAAGTGATTTCTGGATAGGCACAGTTCCTCTGTAACATGCAGCTACACTTTAAAAAGAAAGTAATAACAATGCAGTTTGGAATTTAATAGTGACTTTTGAGGAATGATACTCTGTTGGGGAATTGTATAGTTTTTAAACATTATTTTTAGAGTTAATAGTAAATATTTTGTACTTAATAAAGCCCTTTGAATGCCCTTCTCCTAAATGAAATAACTTGGGTATGGATTATAAGGGGCAAAACGTTTCAGATAGCAGTTTGTTAAAGGGTACATTTTCCCTACTATCATTCTTAGCTGTGGCAGGTTATTCCTGAAGACCAAGTTTTAATATATTTACTACAATCTTGGACATTTGTGTAATACTCGCCAGGTACCCCTGAGTTTTTGCAAGTATAGATATAGATATATGTGTATATATGTACTGTGTTCATTTGTGTAATACTATGCTATACTTATGTCTGCATTCATGCCAGTTTAGGATCGAGTAGATCTCTGCCACTGCTCTCCAAACTAATTGCCCTATAAATGTTTCTTGGATAGATGGATGGTATTGGCCCATAGCATGATTTCATATATTGACAGAATGATGATAAGATGAATATTGGGGGGAAAGAAGTTTTGAAAATGCTGGGTGAAACAAATTTCTACTTTGTCAGACTTCTTTCAGTTCAGTCACTCAGTTGCGTCCATCTCTTTGCGACCCCATGGACTGCAGCATGCCAGGCCTCCCTCTCCATCACCAACTCCCAAAGCTTGTTCAAACTCCTGTCCGTCAAGTCGGTGATGCCATCTAACCATCTCATCCTCTTTTGTCCCCTTCTCCTCCCACCTTCAATCTTTCCCAGCATCAGGGTCTTTTCAGATGAGTCAGTTTTTTGCATCAGGTGGCCAAAGTATTAGAGTTTCAGCTTCAGCATCAGTCCTTTCAATGAATATTCAGGACTGATTTCCTTTAGGATGGACTAGTTGGAAATCCTTGCAGTCCAAGGGACTCTCAAAAGTCTTCTGCAACACCACAGTTCAAAAACATCAGTTCTTTGGCCCTCAGCTTTCTTTTTAGTCCAGCTCTTAGATCCGTTCATGACTACTGGAAAAACCATAGCTTTTACTAGTTGGACCTTTGTTGGCAAAGTAATGGACTTTTTGATCCTCCATAAATACACTCATGCTTGCTGTAATGAGCTAAGGGGGTATATAGCATACCAGTATTTGCTGATTTATTCAGCCATCAAACCCTCCCCTCCCCCCACCTCCCCAACAGATCCAGAAAACTCAGTACACAGTTTAGAAAATGCTACTCACCCTGAAATACTGAATGTGTATGTGCTAAGACTTTATCTATTCAGATATCCATGGAAACCATCTGAGCAATAGTGACAGTGTTTAGAAGTCAAATATTCACTCAGTTGTTCTACAGATACTCAATGAGCATGTGATATATGTGGGGTAGGCATCACTATGGTAGGCTTTCATTAGGTAGTAAAAGTGAAATATAAACTTATAACAATATGTTAATGTTTATACATGTGATATATAATAGGAATATATAGAGTGAGTGCTGCATTCAAAGGAGTGAAGTGAAGTGAAAACGTAGGGTTAATTCACTTCATTTCTCAGCTTCACATTCAGGTCCTTATGTTGGGAGTTTGTGTTGTAAATCTAATTTTATATCACTTTCTATTTTGTTTCCAGTGCTTAAATGTTCATTCTGGCTCTACTTTCAGTAAAGTATATCAGTATTTGTCATGTTCTCACAAGACATTCTGATAAAAACTCATCTTTGGATCTTAATATTTCAATATTTATAAAAAATCAGAGTGTATACTGTATGTATAGCAACTCCTAGTTGCTAAGGGTTACAGAATTTCAGCACAATTCCAGTTTTTGTGGACACTTCTAAATGGGAAGGCGGGAAGTTATTGAACTCACGTTTATATATTTGTTTTCAGTTCTGAAATTTTTCAAATGGTTTATTTTTAGAAATAATAGGGCAGTTTTTTCTCCATATGGAAGTATAACATCTCAGCTAGATTTTGCAAATAAAACTAAAATTCCTTTTAGACCACCAGCCCCAATCTTCCACCTTCACTATAGAGTGCTCCTGTTGGTTATCTAGCGTACTTTCCTCCAGATCTTTCCCCCCAAACCTAGGTAAGTTATATATCCAGAAAATACATGATACTGTGTTTATATTTTTTTAAAAACAAGCCATATTGTTTGCATTTATCATGAATCTTGGTTTTTCAATCTAGAACTATCCAGGTTTGAACATATAGATCTGTTTTATACCTTGAACTATTGCTTTGTATTCCATAGTGAGCTGTATAGTAATTTAGCTGTTCTTCCTGTGATACTTATCTTTTTCTTTGAACTATTACAGACGTTGTAATGAATGTCTTGGTACAGTCCTTCTTAGACACATGTATGCTTCTTTAGAGTAGGTACCCAAAGAGGAGTTGTTGAGGAATAAGGTTTATATGTTTTTAAATGTAATAAGCCCATTTCCTTACATTTGCTCCCTCAAAGTGGCTACTCCCCAAATGACTCTCCAGAGTAGCTGTATCAGTTCATAACTCCCACTGGCAATTTATAAGAATATTGTTTTCCTCCATTATCTTGCCCATATTTTGTAATGTCAAATTTTCTTTCTGCCATTCTGATGGGGGAAAAGGTTATTTGTACTAATTTTTATTTCCCTGATTTCTGGCAGTGTTGTCTTTTACAGGTTTTTTTTTCTTCTGTGATTACTTAAGTGACCTCATGTTAAGATGGCAGAGCCAGGAAACCAAAGCAGCCTGGATGTCTGAATCTCTGCATGTGAAACAATTGCCCAAAGAATTACTTGGATCTATAGGGTACTTTGAGTTAGCATAATAGTACATGTTGCTGAGTTAAGCCTGGCAGAGGCATACTATGTAGATCTTACATCACTGCCTTTCACAGAAATTGCAGTAGTTCTCTGTTGGCTATAGAAATTAATTTCAAAATACGTAGCTTGACATTTTTTATTTTGTTCTGCCCCTTAGCCTCTTCTTAATGCATCTCTTTCCCTTTTCATGTAAATAAGCATTTCCCTTCAACAAACTGTGCACCTTCATAATATGTGTCTGTATTTAAGCCATTAGCTAAGCTGCCTTCTCAATCTTCAAACAAAACTTTGACACTAGTCTTCATGGATTAGTGAGCTCCAACAGAGCTCAGAAGCTCAGGTTTAGAAAATGTGTGTGGAAAAATAAGAAATTTTGCCAGACGTGGTAGGCTGGAAGATGATGGGGTAAGTGAATTGAGGTTGCTGATGAAAAGTCAGCTATTAAGTCCTAGCTGCAGTCAGGAAAGGAAAAAGGGAGATGAGCTGAAAGACAGTGGAGAAGATTTAAGAAATCAAGAATTCCTATGGGAAGAAAACTTTCTGTTTTCTTTTTTATAAAGAAAATAGTAAGTTCTGGGTGTCATGAACTTCCAACTTAATATCAGGAAACAACTTCATCAGAAAGAGCAACAGATTTATAGTCAGGCAGCCTCAGTTTCAGATTTTAATACTCCTGCTACCTAGCTATGTGATGATGGGCAACCTTTATAAACTTCTCTGGGTGTTGGTTTCTTAATCTGTAAATTGGGTAAAATAATAACATTTACCTGGGCAACCCTAGCCTTTATAAGCATTACTACAGCCTTCATTTTTCACATTTATTCATTTATCACATTTATCATTCTTGTTTTACTCACTGTGCTTGAATTTGCAGTAACCGTTACTGATGGCGTAGTTAGTAAACAGTCTCCTGCAAAGCAGGAGACCCAGGTTCAATCCCTGGTTCAGGAAGATCCCTTGGAGAAGGAAATGGCAACCCACTCCCCAACTCCAGTATTCTTGCCTGGAAAATCCCATGGACAGAGGAGCCTGGTGGGCTTTAGTCCGTGGGGTCACAAAGAGTCAGACACAACTGAACGACTAACTTTCACTTTCACTTCTTTACTCAGATTAGATGATCAGTAAAAAGCATGTAGAAGGATATAATTGCTATAGTTTACATATTTGGTAAATATAATGAACACTAAAATGTTAGCTTTACTCACCATCATCATTATTCCTATCGGGTAGCGAGATTAAGGGGATTCCTATATGAAGATCTGCGTTTTCTTCATGAATTAGAAAGCATATAACTCTGTTCTCTCCACCATTAGACTGAACTCCTTGAAGGTAAGACCCGTCTGTTTTCATCTTTATGTTACCAGCAGAGCTGTGGCATAAAGTAGAGAATAGTGGAGAGTATTAAAATCAGATAACTTGGATTTGAATTCCAGCTCCACAGCTTTCCTGAGTGTGTGATCTAGGGCAAGTCGCTTAATCTAATTGCCTCAGTTCCTCCTCATCAGAAAGGTAGGGATGATAATAGTAATGCTTGAAGTTTAGGATCTAGTAAGGATGACAGTTACTCAGTACATTACAAGCATCATTACCAAGCTAGTTTGTAGACATGCTCTTGTGGCTTTGGTTCAGTGTGTTACTTTTATGGATGACCTCCTCCTTGGTCTTACCTCTGTAGGAATCTTGGAATATAGAATTCTATCTTCCTTATCCCAAAACCCCAACTAGTCAATTGTCATTTAAAACTATTAATATGTTCAGTCTTTGCCTTTCTATCTATTTCATGACTAGATGAGATTTTTTTCTTTGTATCTAAACAGTAGAAACTAAGTAGAGGAAGATCTTTGAGCTTAAATATACTCCTATCTTCTGTATAATTGAAACCAGTTATTGGCAGCTCTTTGTTTTTCTGCTTTTTTTTAGTTCTCATCATTAATAACTTGTAGCTTATTCTGCAAGTTTTGAATATTCCAAGGAGTTTTGATGTATGGCATTTTAATTTTTATTCTGTTTAAATATTTTCTGGTTTCCAATGTGACTTTGTTACCTGTGAGCTATTTCAGTATTCAGTTCAGTCACTCAGTCGTGTCCGACTCTTTGTGACCCCATGGACTACAGCACTCCAGGCCTCCCTGTCCACCACCAACTCCCAGAGTTTACTCGAACTCATGTCCATTGAGTCGGTGATGCCCTTCCAACCATCTCATCCTCTGTTGTCCCCTTCTCCTCCCGCCTTCAATCTTTCCCAGCATCAGGGTCTTTTCAAACGAGTCAGTTTTTCGCATGAGGTGGCCAAAGTATTGGAGTTTCAGCTTCAGCATCAGTCCTTCCAGTGAATATTCAGCATTGATTGCCTTCAGGATGGACTGTTTGGATCTCCTTGCAGTCCAAGGGACTCAAGAGTCTTCACAGTTCAAAAGCATCAGTTCCTCGGCGCTCAGCTTTCTTCATAGTCCAACTCTCACATCCATGAGATGTGGAAAAACTATAGACTACTGGAAGAACCATAGCCTTGACTAGACGGACCTTTGTTGGCAAAGTAATGTCTCTGCTTTTTAATATGCTGTCTCGGTTGGTCATAACTTTTCTTCCAAGGAGTAAGCATCTTTTAATTTCATGGCTGCAGTTACCATCTGCAGTGATTTTGTTTGGAGCCCCCAAAAATAAAGTCTGTCACTGTTTCCCCATCTATTTGCCATGAAGTGATGGGACCAGATGCCATGATCACAGTTTTCTGAATGTTGAACGTTAAGCCAACTTTTTCACTCTCCTCTTTCACTTTCGTCAAGAGGCTCTTTAGTTCTTCTTCACTTTCTGCTGTAAGGGTGGTGTCATCTGCATACCTGAGGTTATTGATATTTCTTCTGGCAATCTTGATTCCAGCTTGTGCTTCCTCCAGCCCAGCGTTTCTTATGATGTACTCTGCATATAAATTAAATAAGCAGGGTGACAATATACAGCCTTGACGTACTCCTTTCCCAATTTGGAACCAGTCTGTTGTTCCATGTCCAGTTCTAACTGTTGCTTCCTGACCTGCATACAGGTTTCTCAAGAGGCAGGTCAGGTAGTCTGGTATTCCCATCTCTTGCAGAATTTTCCACAGTTTGTTGTGATTCACATAGTCAAAGGTGGGCTATTTAGAGGTTTGTTTTATACTTTCCCAGTGCGTAACAATTTTCTAGTTATCGTTTTATTATTTTGCCTTACTTGCTCTGTAATCATGGGATAGTCTCTCTGTAATTTTAACCTTTTGAATTATGTTGGAGCCTGCTGTATTGTCAGTTTTTATGAGTGTTTATGTATGAATCCTAAAAGAAAATATATTATGTAGTTTTTGCTTGCAGCGTTTTATGTATATACACTTTAAGTTTGTTTATTATGTTCATATCTTCTGTATCTTCACTTAGTTTTTTATTCACTTATTCTGTTACTGAGAGATCTGTGATAAAGTTTTTATGGCATAATTGTAGATTCATGTAGTTCTCCTTTTATTGTTATCATTATTTTACCTAATACAGTTTGAGGCTATATTACTCAATAGGTGCATATCTATTTAGTGTCAAACTTTCTATCATTATGAAATGTCCTCTTTTGTTTCTGTTAATGCTTTTGCATCAAAGTCTACTTTATCTGACATTAATAAAACTACATAAACTTTCCTTTGGCTTGTGTTGCTATTTAATATAATCAATATTCATGTTGATTTACCCACACATTTCCAATTTTCATTGGTTTTCCTTCTTTCCTTCATCTAGAAGTTTTCCTTTAGAATCATTTTCTGTCTCCTAGTTGATTTTCTTCATTGTAGGTATACTGTGGGAGTATTTCTCTTCATTTTTGTTTCTCTGAAAATTACTATCTTGTTCATCTTGAGAACTGTTTTTACTGGCTGTATTATTCTGGCTCTTGAAGATAACACTCCACTGTCTGGCTTCCAAATTGTTGAGTAGTCAGCTGTCAGTTTAATTTTGTTCTTGTCAAAGTAATCTCTTTTTTTGTAGACTACTGTTAAGACTTCTTCTCTGACTCCCCCCCTCCCTTCTCTGACATTTTACCCTGGTGTATATAATTATGGTTTGGCTTTTATGTATGTTACTGGTAGTTTTTAAAGCTACTTGATCCATGACTTTGTATCTTTTGTTAACTTTGCAAATTGATCAGCCATCATTTCTGTGCATTAAGTATTCTTCTGTTTCTGTGACTTCTTATTCTGATGCTACTTTCTCACTGTATCTCCTGTGGCTCTTGCCCCTTCTTTCCTAACTTCATTCTTTTTACTTTTCGTGTCTCTTACTGGACATTTTTTGAGACCAATCTTTCTTTTCTTTTCTTCTTCTTAGCTCTGTCAGATTTATTACTGAATCTATCTGTTGACTTTTAAAATTTACATAATGTACTTCTCAATTCTAGAACTTTCATTTCATTCTTTGTTAGTTTTTCTTTCTTTGCTAAAGTTCTTAGACCTATGTTTCTTTATGTATGTTCCGATTGCTAAACTGGGCCAGATATTGCCAGTTAGCTGTTAATTACTTTTGAGCTAAGAATGACTTTTACATTTTTATTTAGTTTTATGTTTTTAAAGGACAGTGGCCATCTAAATTAATTAATTAATTAATCAGTGGCTCTGCTAGTTCTTTGTTGCTGTGTATGGGATTTCTGTAGTTGCTCTGAATGGGGTCTGCTCTTCGTTGCAGTGCAGTGGCTTCTCATTGCAGTGGCTTCTCACATTGCAGAGCATGGGTTCTAGGCACACAGGCCCAGTAGTTCCTGTGCATGGGCTCAGTAGTTGTGGCACATGGGCTTAACTGCCTCTCAGCATGTGGGATCTTCCCGGACCAGGGATTGACCCTATGTGTGCTGCACGAGCAGGCAGACTCCCGAACACTGACCATCAGGGAAGCCCAATTTTTACATTTTTAAAAGGTTGTTTATGAAACTTCCCTGGTGGTCCAGTGATTAAGACTCCTCTCTTCCAATTCAGGGGTCACAAATTCAATTCCTGGTCAGGGAACTAAGATCCCACATGCTGCATGGCACAGCCAAGTTTTAAAAAAAAAAAAAAGATTGCTTAAAAAAAATATGTTGCCCCACTGGCTTCTTTGAAAAGCCATCTTTGCATTGTGTTCCCTTGTGTGATTTCCCATGTGCTTTAGCCACCTCTGCCTTGGCCTCCAGCAGCTTTCTGGAAAGCCTCCTCGGACTCTCGCTTTCTTTCCTCTTAAACCACTGCATAGGATCACTAGCCTGCCCCATCATGTCAGCTGTGGCTGTGGACTGCAGCTTCAGCGTTAACACCAGGGACTCAGAAGAGGGGAGCTGTGGAGGAGGCAGAGAATGGGAGAGAGACACCTGCTAATGAGAAAAGTGGGGAGCAGGAGGCTGACAAAGAGGTAATTGAAAAAGAGGAAGAAGATGTGGAGGGGAGAGCAGGAGGAGCAAGGTGACGGTGAGGAAGATGAAGGAGATGAAGGTGAGGAGGCTGAAGCAGCTACGGTCAAAGGGGCAACTGAAGATGATGAGGAGGATGGTATTGACACCAAGAAGACCGATGAGGATGACTGTACAACACAAAAAAAAAAGGAAAAGGAAAAGTTAAACTTACCCATGGGACTTCCCTCCTGGTCCAGTGGTTAAGACTCCTCATTCCAATGCAGGGGGTATGGGTTCAGCTGGGGGGCTAAGATCTTAGCTGGGGCTAAGATCCCACATGCCACAGGGCAGAAACCTGAAACATAAACAACAGAAGCAACGTTGTAACAAATTCAATTAAAAAAAGTTTAAAATGGTCCACATTAAAAAAAAAAAAAGTTTAAAGAAACAAAAAGGCCACCATGACCTACCTGTTCACCCTCCACTTCCCGTCTCAGTCTAAACATGGTCATCTTCCAGTAGCTCCTGCAGGCCTGCCCACCCACCACGGCAGCGCCTCCTGAAGATGACACACATTCTCTACCACCCAGCCAAAACAGTAACATGAATTTGTAGCAGGGAAGGAAAAAAAGAACCAAAATTTCCAAGGCCCTCTTTTCTTCTTAAAGTACTTTTTAAAGGAAAATTTGTATTTTTATTTACATTTTATATTTTTGTACATGTTGTTAGGAGTGAGTCACTTTTAATGACCCCAGATGACCAAACCAGCCTTAGGAGCAGTCTCTGTCCTACCTCTGACTTCACTTGTGGTGCGATCATGTTCATTATGATCTCAGAGGAGAAAAAAACCTTGTGAAAAAACCAAAAACAGCAACAACAAAACAGTCTTATTCTGAGCATTTTGTGTATGTACTTAGCTGTACAAGTAGTTGGTTTGTCTGAGATGGCTAGAAAGGCCAAAGATAAACAGGTTCTTTTTTTTTTTTTTGTCTCTGAAGTTGCTTTCTATTTTTTTGGCCTGTTTGATGTGTGTATGAAACAATGTCATCCAACAGTAAATTGGAATTTTATTTTGCTGAGTTCTTTTAAAAAAAAAAGTCAAAAGAAATAATGCCGCAGAGATGTTATGTGGCCTACAGAAACCTAAAATGTATACTCTTAAGTCCTCTAAAGACAATGTTTGCCAACCCCTGGTGAAGGTGAAAGTGAAGTCGCTCAGTCATGTCCCACTCTTTGCAACCCCCATGGACAGTAGCCTATGAGGCTCCTCCGTCCATGGAATTTTCCAGGCAAGAGTACTGGAAAACTGCCTGGGTTTGCTATTTCCATCTCCAGGGCATCTTCCTGACCCAGGGATCAAACCCGGTTCTCCCACATTGCAAGCAGATGCTTTTACCATCTACCCCTGGTATATGTTATTAAATACAGTTGTTTTAGAATTTGTATCTGATAACTCCATTATTTGAAAGTTTTCTCTTTACAGGTTTCTAGGTTTTATTACTTCTCTTAGTTTGCATGAATGCCTTCTTGTTTCCTAATGTGCCTGGTTTTATTTGAGCAATGGATATTGTTGCATAAATTTTTTTTAAGTAATCTGAGGCCTGTTGTTAAGTTGTGTCCTACTCTTGTACAACTCCATGGTCTGTAACCCACCAGGCTCCTCTGTCCATAGCATTTTCTAGACAGTACTGGAGTGGGTTGCCTTCTCCTTCTCTAGGGGATCTCCCAACCCAGGGATGAAACCAGTACCTCCTGCATTGGAGGAGCTGAGCCACCAGGCTGTCCTGTTATCTTGATGCCCAGGATGATTTTTTTCCTACGGTGAAGTTTCGTGTTTGCTTTCAGTAGCTGACTGGAAGCACTATTAATCCTATGTAACTTTAATCCAAAATCAGGGATTGAGATGTTTTTAAAATGACCATCAGTTTACTTTAGGATCACACTTATTTTGTTGTTGTTGTACAGTCACTAAGTCATGTCCAACTCTTTGCAACACTGTGGACTAAAGCACACCAGCCTTCCCTATCCTTCACTAGCGCCTGTAACTTGCTCTTGCCCTCAATCTTTCCCAGCATTGGGGTCTTTTCCAGTAAGTCGGTGGCCAAAGGATTAGAGCTTCAGTTTCAGCATCAGTCCTTCTAATGAATATTCAGGGTTGATTTCCTTTGAGATTGACTGGTTTGATCTCCTTGCAGTTCAAGAGACTCTAAAGAATCTCCTCCAGCACTAGAGTTTGAAAGCATCACTTCTTTGGCATGTAGCCTTCTTTATGGTCCAACTCTCATATTCATACATGACTACTGGGAAAACCATAGTTTTTGAGTATATGGACCTTTGTCAGCAAAGAGATGTCTACTTTTTAATATGCTGTCTAGGTTTGTCATAGCTTTTCTTCCAGGGAGCAAACAAATGTCTTTTAATTTTGTGATTGTAGTCATGAATAGCAGGGAGCCCAAGAAAATAAAGCCCAATAAAAAAAAATTACTGTTCCCATTTTTTTTTCCATCCATTTGCCATGAAGTGATGGAACCAGATGCCGTGATCTTAGTTTTTTGAATGTTTAATTTTAAGCCAACTTTTTCAGTCTCCTCTTTGACCCTCATCAGGAGGCTCTTTAATTCCTCTTCACTTTCTGCCATAAGGGTCATGTCATCTGCATATCTGAGATTGATGATATTTCTCCTAGCAGTCTTGATTCCAAATAGGGTATTATATACTTTCCGAGTGATGCAGTGGTAGAGAATCTGCCTGCCAGTGCAGGAGACTCAGATTTGATCCCTGGTTCTGGAAGACCCTCCTGGAGAAGAAAATGACAACCCACCCCAATATTCTGGGAAGTCCCATGGACAGTGAATCCTGGCCAGCTACAGTCCATGGGATCACAAAAGAGTTAAACACGACTTAGCGACTAAACAACAGCAACAAATACTGCTGGATTTTGGTCCAAATCCAAAGCATTACCGGGTTCATCTGTATTACCTGTCCCAGCAGGGGACGTTAGTGATGTAGTTTTTTTGTGTGTTATTTTTAGTATTTGACCATAGCTTCTCTTGAGATAATATAATCTTGAGATAATATTATATTAACTTGAGATAATATTATATTATCTCAAGATAATATAATGTCCAGGTTTGGACATTTTCTTCTTTAGAGTATATTGAGCTTCCACTATCATTCACGTGTTTCTTTAACATTTTTGTATAATAATGCAGTGAGAAACCCTGCTCTAAAATGTAAATTTCTGTCAGTGGCCCTGAATAGCAAGCTACAGAGACATTACTTGGGAAATATGTCATCAAATCGTAATGTAAAACTCTCACTGCTTTGGAGCACAGTGCTTTGTATCTTGTCTCAACTCCTATAGCATTTATTTTGTAAAAATTTTTGAAGTTTTATGGTGTGAATTATATTGTACAACTTTCATCCCTGATAAAAGCATAATCATATGAAAGATGAGATGGAGGAAGCATTGACTTCTGTGTCTTTGTAGCCATATACCTAGCACAGACATTCATTACATCATTATGATTACTAGCAAATTTTTTTAGGGGCCAACTATAAGCTAATAAAATATTAAATGAAAAAAAGGCTTACTAAAATTTTGGAATATTGAACGCTTGCTTTTCTGAAGTCTTGATGCTAGATGCTGTACTTTAATCCAAGATACTGCTACTTTATTCCGGTATTCCAACCATTTTGTATTAGTGAGCGGTGTGTGTGTTTATGGGTGGGGAAGGGATAGTATTCCTATAGTTTAAGTAGCAACAGCCAATTATTTTTGAGGAAAAGGAAAGGCCAGTTTTTCCCTCTGAGATACCCTTATTTATGGTAATGTCTTTTGAAAACTGATCAGTGAGCTTCCATTGTAGGCTTGCTTAATGGAAGACTAATTTGGTTCTTAGCATTTTTTGAGATTTTTGTAAAAATGGAGAATTTAGATCAGAAATGAGGTTGCAAAGAAATGTACATATAATTTTGTTGCAGAAGTTACACAGTGTGTCAAGAACTCTCTAATGCTGATATTTGATACTTAGATTATCTTAAACTATTTTTCCTCTTCTTCAGCTTCCAGCTGATCTTACCAAGATGCACATTGCAGACAACCCTCATCCACAGGTGACTCATGTGTCTTCTAGTCAGTCTGGTTGTAGCATCGCCAGTGACTCTGGAAGCAGCAGTTTATCTGATATCTATCAGGTAATACTTTAGGAGTTTGTATGCTATGCTTATGTTTTTTTTATTCTGCCAAATACCATGTGCTTATGCCTTAGGTATTCATATATCTTTTAATTAGATTATGAAATTCGGACATAAAGCCTTTGAGAAAATGTGCTTTATTTACATTTCAGATTTACAAGCCTAATGAAAGAGGTGATCTATCTTTTGAGACTGAGTAAATATGGTCCAACAGTATGTGAATATAGTGTTCTTAATTTCTTCTACCCAGGTGAATCTATATAATATATATTTGCTTTCATTAGAAAATGGTTCTTGAGACAACTGAACTTATAAAAAGACTGATTTTTATGATAGTTGATTATTTAAGTCTTCCATAAGTAAAGTCATGAAGAAAATTAGAGTTGCCTTTGTATTGTAAAGACTGTTAAATTTTGTATTAGCCACAGTTTAAAATTAAAAGGAAACAAGTAAAATTGAATATATATTTTTAGCATAGTATATTTGGATATTATTATTTCAACATGTAATCAGTTTTTAAGAATTATGAATGTGATACTTTATTTTTTCAAACTAAGTCTTCAAAAGGTAAAGAATATTAACATACAGCATGTCTCAGTTCATATAAGGCACATTTCAAGCACCATGTGTGACTAGTGGCTACCATATAGTACTGATCTTTTGAAATAGAACCATTGCTATCTAAGGAGAACATTTTATTTTAGACTGTGGTTCTGTTTAGTTACATGGATTTAGCTGGTTTTTGAAAATTTACATTCCTCTGTTGAGGGAAGTTTTCCAGCAGGTGCAAAATGGAAAAAGGCCTCTGTGTTTGATTCGTGTGAGTCTCTTCTCTACAAAGATTATTGTTGTGGGCTTGCCATCTACATCCCATTGTTTGGCCTTTTATTAGTAGAACAAGGAATTCTCCCTTTTCAATGTTTTATTGTAGATAGAACAGGGAATTTTTTAAAAGTTATGTGAAAGACAGTGTGATGGTTCAGGGGCCACTTACTGTGTTCATGGGGTTGTTGGGCTGCGTGCGTTTCCCACCTTCTCCCAAAAAGACGTATCTTGTGGATTAAGTTAAAATTGTTGCATACCTAAAAGTCAAAGTAGAGTTGTGCTTCTCTGGACTCTGTTTTTCCTAGAGAAGGAACCCTAAGGAAGATTGACCCTGGGTTAATGAAGTTAAGAGATGTGGTTGTAGATTTTTCTCAAGATTAGTGAGAATGTCTGGACCTTGCAAAGAGAGACCATAAAGCAGAGATGTAGTGTTGATGATACCTCTTCTCACTAGTATATCCATCTCTGACCAGATGTGATCCCCTTTTTGGAGCAAGGAGCAGAGCCCTCGATGGTTATAAGAAAAGGGACAAAAGGATAGTGCACCAAACTGAAGTTCAAGGTCACTTGGAAAGGCCAGTTCTTTACCCTGAACTATTAATAAAAGATGGGCTGTACACAATGGGATTGTATATCTTTGGCAAATTTTGGAGGAGGAGCCTCTGAAGAATTGTGCTTACATTAGCACCTATAGGATGTTCACCTACAGAATGGCGCACCTGAGGCTGGGGCTAGAGCCTGTCTGCTGGTGTGGTTGGAGTCTTCTGTAGGACCCTGACCATGAGTATGGCTGCCCTGCTTCAACCTTTTGTATGTTTTCCTTCCTCAGTCTACTTTCCACAGTTCATTCTACCTTTAAAATGATTCATTTTAACATAGCATAAAATGTGGACAGATACCTCTGCCAGCTTTCCTGCACAGCCAAGAAGTCCCTTCATCACACAGTGAAGAAGATACTGTTTCATGTCTCCAGAAACCTGAAAGTTAGCATTGGCCTCATCCCCTGCTCATCATAATTCACCATTAAGTCATATCACTTCTACTTCGTGCATCAGTGTGTTTGTATATATGATTGATGCTGCGATGTAATTTACAAATAGCAAAATTTACCCTCTGTGGTATAGTCTACATGAAGACATACAATATTTCTATCACCTGAAAAAGTATTTTGTATTCTCCTTTTTAGTCAGTTCCTTCTCCTGATCCCTCAGCGCTGGC